TTTTTTCCCTTGCAAAAAACAGCTGTGGTCTGTGTAACCATATGCATTTCTACTTACTTTTTCATAACAATCTTAATGCATTAACATATCAAAACTATTTTAAAACATATGGCTGCGGGTATACAGATACATGCTTTTAGATTTATCTGCTAGAAAAAGAAGGGCCCCAATTGCTATGCTATCATCTTAACTATAAAAATAGAAGATTTTCAATATCATAGTGCTGTATTTTGAGTTCTGACCCTCAAGGCACCCTGTATCTCTGTTCTTTCTCTGTCTTTCGCTGACAACCAAATTAACTCTGCGTATCTAGAAAATAGCTTGCATAATGCAATCCTGATGCTGGATTTTCTCTTCTTCAAAGTACCAGTTTTCTGGTTTAGCCTGTGCTTCAGTTTGTGCTTCTAAAACGGCTTGGCTACTCTGCCAGCTCCATTCCAGGGCTTGTCATTTTTTTCTGTAAATGGGCTATAGAGAGAGCCTGCGGTAGAGAGAGCCTAAGTTAATACCAATAAAATGAAGTGGTAAATTTTCAGCTTTCATGAATTTTTAACTATGTAAGAATCGTAGCCTTTCAGTGATGTCTCAGAAGTATCAAAGACCTTCACAAAGTGTTAATAATTGTCATACTGCTTGAGAGAAAGAACAAATTTGTTTATAATGCCTGGACCGCATACCAAAAGAGACAAAGCACAGTGAAACGTTTTCTGATACACAGGTCTGAAATTCTCATTTGTTGCATAATTAATCACATGCTGCTGTATAATTATAGCTCTTGTGGGTTCACAATGTCCGTGTCCGTTTCGTAAAGTATCTTCCTTCCAATTTCAGAAATTAGTAGAAAAACTGGTCCAGTTTGGTTTCTGTGTCACCCCAGACTGTAGAGAAGAGCATCTTCATTCTCCTCTTTTCAAGCTTCTTCTGAAAATGGATTAGTTGTGGTACTAATGGTTACGCAGATGCGTAGCTTAAGAGGGGATGTATTCTCTCTGATGAAAAAGTTCAAAAGTAGGTCAAAAATAAGGGCCAGCAGTCTCACCCTGTCTGGTGCTGGATGCAGCTCCTGCCACTCTGACTCCCCTCAAATTCAGCGCAGGTGGATGGAAGCAGAACAGAAGCAGTATCCGTGAGGTCAGGCACCGCTTACCACAGAACTGGGTTTTGTTCTTCTTGGGGTATCACCAAGGTCTTGGATATGTGCTTTAAAATCTTTAGTCCCATGCTGGTTAACAGTGACTTTCTTTTTTCCATAACTGGGCTTCTTCAAGTCTGACAGGAAATCCCCAAATTTCATTTAGGTGCCTTTTCCCATATATAATAGGGCTTGGGATTCAAAGGAATTCATTCAGCATGCTCTCCGAATGCCATTTAACTTCCCGTGAAAAAACAGTGACAGGAAGAGTTGTTTTAATTAGCATATGAGCTGTGCAGCAGCTAATGTATTCCACCTCTTCATTGTTGTAAAAGGAGCAGATTTCTTGGTAGCATGAAGCGGGCAGAGAAGAGGGATTGTGTTCTGCTCTCCGTATGCGCACACAGCCCCATTCACGGGGAAGGTGTGAACGGGAGGTGATTTGTAGCCGCCTGCCATTTCTACAGCACAAGCTTCTGTTGTTCTCCAGGCTGGAGAGAAACCCGGCTCCCCTCTTCAAACCTACTGCAGTCAACAGGTACGCAGCAGCCTTCAGAGGTTTTTGTTATTAATCTCAACAATAAGATTGCAAAGAAAACTTTTTTTTTAATATACACGTAAAAAAAGGAGAACTTGATGTCAGGCTAGAAAGAGAGCGCCATGACTTCCCCAGATACATGATTTTTCTTGATCAGAAGTCCCAAGGAAGCCACATTTTAGAGAAACCTTTGAAAGTACGCCTCTTTTGCCTCCCTCTGGTCAGTCTCAAACTGGCACCGGACCAGAGCTCTGACTCCCAGTGCTCTCCCTGCTCCAAACTGGGTCCGGTATCGTGCTGTGCCGTGGAGAATGGAGCACACGTTCAACCCCTGCTCCAGTGCTCCTCGGGACACACTCTGGTCTACTGAGAGGCACGGCTGAACACGGAGGGTGAGGAGCTGTGGGCGCACTGCCCGGCGCGCCAGGGCTCTTGTTTGGGTTCGGGCGACGGTGATGAAGCGATGCGGCCTGTTAAACAGATGGTGGGGGCGAATGATTTCATGGCCTCCTCCAGCCCCCGAGCGCGTCAGCACAAGCTGTAAAGCAAAGCCTGAGCTCCAGATAGCGTTTCCCTGGCAGTGGGGTTCGAGCGGTGAGTGATGTTGCAGAGGCTGCGCTTCACTGAGAAATTGCTCAAGGGAAGACTGACCGAGTAACAAAAAGCAAAGCGGGACACACCGGCCAGGCAAGGGGAGGAGCATCTCAGGGACTTCCAGCCACAAAGCCAGACCGTGCCCACTGGAAACTGCCCTGCAGTTGCAAAAGTGAGAAGTGACAAGCTGGTTTGAAACTCCTTGGTCAAGAGGCGCTTGTTAAAATAAAAAGAAAGAGAGAGAGAAGTGATGCCAACAGGAGAAGGAAACAGATATTTCTTTTCATGAGAAAAATAATTGTAGGGTCAAAACAGAAGGCTTTTAAATGGTCCAAGAAAATAAACAATTTAGAAAAAAATAAGAGTGTGCAAAGCAAAGCAAACTTGATGTGATTTTTGCCTTGCCTGAACTTGTTCACAGGGGACTTGCGTTTGCTAGCGAAAGGAAATATTCCAGAGGTTGCTTGGCCAAAAGCAATGGCTTTTGCTGATAAAGGATTGAAGAGAGGACAAGGAAAATATAGCTACTTGCATTAGCTAGGAGCTGCTTATCTCTAATGTGGCTAAAACAGAGAAAGCTTGTCTCTCGGAGAGAAGAAAAATCTAGTAATACGGTAATGAGATATGGCTCTTCATTTTAATTTTCATTTCCCAAATGCCTTATAAATGTTGACTACTAAATATGCACAGCCTCTGAGTTGGGAGCTAACAGGGACTGCACCATTTTCTCCATCCTCTGTTTCCCCATGGGCAGGGTAAAAGCACACCAACAATACAAGATCTCCTCTGAATATTTTGCCTGTGATGGTGATAAATATAAACCAGGATTTAGTCACCTCCGACTTTATTTATTGACCTCATCTGTCCAGGAGGTGTTCAGTTTCAATTTTTTCAGCTGTTGGACACCATTGCCTTGCACATAAACCAGCGTAAGATCACTCGCAGGAGCCACCTCTCTGATTTCAAGACCACCAGTGGAGCAGGGTAATGAGCTGCAGAGTGGGGTTTGTGTTCAGGGCTTTCACTGACGACACACAGGCTCCTCGGCCAAATGAAAACCTAAGCTTTGGTCAATCAGAGTATCAGCATGCAGATCTTGCACATACATAACAACAAAAATATTTCTGTAAGTTATTTCACACTCATTTTTAAAAAATATTAACAATTTAAAGAGCCCTGTCCAAAAATACACGAGTGTATGTATTATAACACAGGAGTCACCCCGGCCCGGTTCGTGTTTGATTTTTTGCTTTCTGGGATATAATGGCATAAATCCTCTGCAGCTTGGTCTGATGTAGCCCTGCAGAAATACAGTCACTTTATCTGTTCTGCTGCACAAGGGGAGATCTGACTTGGAACCTTTCAACAAATAATACTCAGACAAATGAAAGCTGAGTGTCTAATCGCCATCTTGTAGGAACAGCTTCAAACCTCTGTAAGTGTGTGTGTATGTGTATATATTATATATAGATAGTGAATAGATAAAGATGTGAAAGTGATCCAGATTAGCTATTAGGAATTCCCTGTGAATTTTTAAACTACTGCCTATTTTGTTGTTTCTTTAGTGCATAAGGACTCTGTCCTCTGTCAGTTGCAGAGGAAAGTTTGTTCAAAGTCCCCCCATCCAAAAATCCAGGCTCCTTCACGAGAGTCTCAGCAGGATTCTGTGCAGGCACGGAGGTTTTGGGGTGCCGGACCAATGGCAGGACCAGGGGATGGACACACAAACCACCACAGCAGCATCCCCCAGAGCAGACAGACACCAGCGATAAGCAGGAGTGAGTGTGTGTTTGTGTGTGCGTGTGGGAAGAAGGGTTATTTTGTGATGGATCTTCTGCCACAGGGCTGAGGAGGGAAGTGAGAAGAGAGGCAGGCAGAGATGTCAAAAGGTGTAGAGCTGTGTTGACAGGACAATACAAATACCAGGTGACCCAGTTATCTCTCACTTGGCTAATTCTCATCAGCAGGTCAGCTGAGAAGGCATTTTTTCAACTCTTCCATGCAACACAGATCCTGTGGTGAGAGGGATGGAGCCAAGGCTAAGAATTTCTTTTCGCCAAGACACTGCCTGGCCACCTGGAGAGACCTTTTACATGGTCTTGTAAACAGGGTTTGGCCTCAGTGAAGCATAAGCATTGTATCTTAGCTGAAGTGCTTTGGAAAAATACATTAAAAGTAATAACTGCTACTTTGAGGGATAAGGACTTCTTATGGTAATACAGCTCCTTCCAATGTGTCGCTACCATTTCCACTGTATTTAGCACAGGCTTTTCCCATTTTTCTTGTCGCAAAGGTAGGAAATGCATTTGGAGTCAGCAGGCTGCCAGCCTCCTCAGGTATGATGCCTGAGGAGCACCTCCCCTCTTCATGGCTTTTCACCCCAGCAAACCAGCTGGCTCCTTTCCACCTGGGGCTCTTCTTCAGGGCCTGCTAGCTTGGGATCTTCTGTTTGCTGTGGAGAGCAAAACATACCCTGTGCCGATGAAATTGCTGCATGATTTAGGTTACAAATGTGGTGTTACAGAGAGGTGCTGTTCACTTTGCTTGCTGTCTAGGATTTATGCCTTCTTTCTTAGCTACAGAGACTCGTGCCATGCTGAGGACTTGCTGTCTAGGAAGCCCCTGAGTTTCTAGAATATAATACAATGAAACTAAGTTATCTTTTTCCTACTGCTTATCATCAAAACGCTTGAAAGTTTTTCACTTACTCATCTCCATATTTCTTTATTTCTTTAGGCTGTGACTCGTCACTGAACCTGACATCTCAGAGAGCCATAGATGCAGTGGACAGTATCTTTCGGTCCCTCAGGGATATTGCAAGAGCTCGAATGCACATGAAACAGTTTAATTCCATACATAATGCAGGCAGCAACACCCACCAGGCAAGTGGATCTTTCTTTTCCATGTGTATGTTATTTCTCTAGCATGCTGTCAAAATTACAGCACTAATTCTGCTGATGTGCTAATCCAATACGTGTTCTGCCCATGTAGAAGATATTTAAGTACAGATTTTATAATTGACCTAATCATGATAGAATTTCCTCAAGTCCTTCATCCAAACTCAGGCATATCTGTGTCAACGTCAACAAAGAATTGTCTGAGGAAGAAATTAGGGATTTGCTCTGCAGCACTGTGATATGACATAAATGCCTGTGAAAAGCAGTGCTAGGTCAAGACAGTTATGGACGAAGACCCCTCATGGCATAATAAAGCAGGGTGCCTGCATCTGTACAGCAACTATATTCCTGTGTATTTTCTCTCCCATCTCTGTAAGTGCAAGAGTCACTCCCGTTTGTAAATAGGTGAAAAATGCAGCTTTTATTTCTAAAATATGAACACATGAACTATGATATTACTATAGGTCATCAGGACCCATATACAGTGTTTTTCTCTCTGTCTCCCCCAAAGTGTTTTAACTTTTTCAGATGAAAAGAGTTTACAGTGCAAAGCACATACAGTGATTGAGAGAGAGACTGTAAAACTTGATTCTAGCCTTGAGCCAGAAAAAAATCCTTCCAAACTCCTAAGTATGCTATAGGCCAGCAAAGGGATGTAGTTCAAATTAAGCATTGCTTTGTAAGAATAGGAATCGGGAGTGTTGCAAAATGTCGCTGGAAAGCTGAGGTGGAGAAAACCTGTTACTGAAGTCTCCTCGCAGTTAGGATCAGTCTGGTGTCTGAAATGGGGTAAATTGTTAAACATTTAATACGGTTCAGTGGGGGGGCAGTCAGATGATAAGAAAATACCCTCTGAAAGTTTCCTGGAAGTATAATTAGCATCAGTATGTTCTTTGGATGTAACCCAGGTTGTTTGCTTAGGGCTAAGTGCTGGAACGCAGCAAGGGAGGTGTTAACACCTTGCAGTCCCCTGATCTGGCTATGTGATGGATTTAATTGCTTGAATAGGCACAACCCTCTGCTGAGGGCAGTTCAACAGGTTTAGAGTGGCAGAAGCAAGCAGGCAGTACAGTTTTTTCCATCATACATACAGCTCTCTACAAAACGGACCTCTCTTTTGACTGGCAGATGTTTATACACGGGTTGTGTGCGATCAGTTTAGCCCCTCTGAAGAAGTAGTGTCCTCCCCATGGCCATAGGCATTCCCTGCCCCACTTAGTGCTGGGAGAGTGGGTTTAGCCTATAGGTGCTTTTCTGCTTTATCTGTTAGGAGCTGGGAAGCCTCCGTTTCTTGTTAAGGCTCAGAAAAGGTTTCTATAGATAAGTAAGTAGGAATTGGATAGCCTGTTAGAAGGACTTTTTGTAGCATTGAAGTTTATATGTCTTACATAAAATGATGAATGTTTTCATCAGGTTATCAAACCAGTTTGTGTAGCGAGCGTGCAGGAGGATAGTGTTTATTTTGCCTGATATTGTAACTACTGTTCTTTTCCTTTCATGTTGATCTGAAGCATATTCCTCCCTCCCTCCTTCCGTTCCTCCATCCCTCTCTCCCCACCTCCCTCCTTCCATTCCTCCCTCTCCTTTTCTCATTCTCGTTCTTCCTCTCTTTTTCTCTCTCCTTTTCTCCTTATAACCTTGTCTGAGGAATGTCCCACAGCCATCAAGGTTTTTAACAGCTGCTTTAAACACGGTTTGTGTCCTGCCAAAATTTCAAATTGATAAAAGTTTTATTATATGAGTTAGAAATCAATGCAGCTATTGGGGGTTGTATAAAAAATAAAGTAAAAACTTCATAAAAATTTAATAGATTAATTTCAAGTCATAAAATATTTTGAAAGTATTTGAAACTAGCATAGCTAAAAAAAGGTAAGTATCTGCCTTTTAGTATCTGTGTAGCCAAACTGGATCACTTTGAAGGGCACTGAGTTTTGGTGCTGAAAATTCAGACATGCAAAATCGTAGCACATTTTTACATCTTTTGAGTACATAGTTTTGTCTACAGTCAGATAATATTTTTCCTTTAATTTCATGCCGTAAGCCTCTCTGTTTAACTGGGATTTGATCTCTACTACAAAAATATTTCATTCCTAATGTCTTTCTGTTCCTCATCTATGAAGATATTAAACAGATTTTTCTACATAGGACTTCATGCCTGCATGTGTATTTTCAGACAGTTGTTTATTGCGTGACTAGATTTGACACAAATCTTGGCATGTTCTCCTAAAAGATCCTGCAGTTCATGTCTGCTGTAATTTGCTTTGTTGGCTCAATTAAAAATTATGCACATGTTGTGAGAAGAACTAGATGAGTTGTATAAATCTTCGTTGACAGGATTGTATTCAAAAACTCTAAGTTTTGTTTCTCACTGTAAAGTGTTGGATGAAAAACGTTTCTTTAATTACTCCAGAAAATTTTAGCTTCAAGCCAAGCAGCTTGCTTTTTATTTTCCATCCATTTTAATGTTTATCTTGCATGATGTCTCTTGCAGATATCATCTTTACAAAATGAATGATGTTAGACTTGATTCCCTTAAGAAATCTAGGGGATGATGTATACCTGGGCTAGTCCCAAAGGAAAACAAATGTGCTAATTTGAAAGCTGCTAATTTTTTAAGACTGTTGCGCTTCCTGAAACGATTGTGGTTCCATTGTGGTTTGGGCAAAGTTGAAAGCAGCAAAAGAAAACTCCATCTTGTAACCCAAGTAAGGTCGAATTTTCATTAAAGAGCATCTTTCCACAAGTCCCAGAACTGTTTATCTTAGAAACTTTTTCAGGATAGCAGAGCAGTTTAAACCTTGGTAAGGGAATGTGAAAGTTTCTGGGCTGCTAATTCATACTCAGCACAGGTTTGTGGACCCTGAAGAGGATGCAGGCTGGATCCTTTGGAAGTGGATCTTCCAGGATGCTCACCATTTGTACCTTTACATGTTCCACTTTTCCTGGTCCTGAACTTCTCTGAAGCTCTGACATGCATGATATTGGTGGGGCTGTGTGGCCTATTTTTCTCAAGGTTTTCCACAGGTGGAAGTATTATGTAGAATGCCTTGGCCGTAGACACTGAAGGACTAGGGGACTTTAGGATGAGACAAAATGGCCTCAAGTTGCACCAGGGGAGGTTTAGATTGGATATTAGGAAAAATTTCTTTACTGAAAAAGTGGTCAGGCATTGGAACAGGCTGCCCAGGGAAGTGGTGGAGTCACCATCACTGGAGGTGTTAGAAAAAAGTGTAGACATGGCACTTTGGGACATGGTTTAGTGGGCATGGTGGTGTTGGGTTGACGGTTGGACTTGATGATCTTAGAAGTCCTTTCCAATGATTCCCTGATTCTGTGACTAACAGGGACTCCGTAGCTCTGCTCTCCCATGAGGGATGAACAGGCAGGCTGGCCTCTTCCCAGCCCTGCTGATACCCAGGCTTCAGTGCTGACATGACACCTGTGGTAAGGAAGGAGTGGTCAGTAAGCAAACCCTTCTAAAAATCCCTGTTTAAGTGTTTGTAAAACCATTACAAAGAGGATGAGATATTCTGGATGCATGTTGGGGAACAGAGTGTCATCCCTATTGCTATCCCTTTCTGTACTACCTCCAACAAGATTCTAGAGAAACTAGAAGGCCCCTTTCTTTCTTGTCTCCCTTTACTCATATAATACACATGGGGCAGAGTAGATGTGTGGCCATCTTCCTGTCTTTTCAGTTTGATGCCAACTCTGGTGCACACCATTTGTGCTCAAGGTCACGAAGACCACTGCTGCTTCGATAATTTTTTAACTCTCTGAATGGTTTCCTTTCTAGGATAATTACTTTTGTTACCTTTAATGGAAATAAAATGTTCAGAAGAGCAATTGCACCAAGTCTAAACAGCTTTACTCACCGTGTGTTATTCTTTTTGTGTAGGCTTCTTACAAATCGCTGCTGAAACAGGTAGTGGAAGAGATCTGTAATCCTGATCGACCTGATCCTGTTGATATTGAGCACATGTCATCAGGCCTTACCGATCTCCTTAAAACTGGATTCAGCATGTTCATGAAGGTAAACCAGGCTTCCCCAGCTCATCTGTAAGATTTTCCTGAGGTCATAGCATCATATGGCAGTAGCTGATTTTATGTATTTGAGTTGATATTTTTCAGCAGAACTTACGGGGCAGTTATGAGAGTTAAATCCTTGCAGAGGGCCTGGGAATAGCTTGAGGCACCACATTGCAGGTACAGTACAAATGGGTAGCACCTGCTGAAAACTGGACACCTAAATAAAGGTGATGCTGGACACCTAAATAAGGATGATATGTCTGGGAGGAGGCAATGTGGCTTTCCTAAAGGGAAGTCTTACCTCATATAACTTTCGGAACTCTTCCAATGCACCCAATAAGCAAATTGATAAACGAGTGCCAGTTGATACAACCTACCTGGATTTCCAAAAGGCATTCCACAAGGCACCTCATCAAAGGATTTTAAGGACACCGAGCAGCCTTGAGATAGGAGAAAAGTAAGTATGAACAGTCAGGTCTCACAGGGGAAGAAGGTCATCAGAGGAGCTCCACATTTAGTGCCTTTTCTACAACTTGGTAAGGTTCAACTGCAGTGGGGAGGAAGGAAGCCTGTTAGTCAGAAATTGCCTTGTGGATGCTCTTAGCATGTTTTAAGACAGTCTTTCTACGAGAGCTTACTCTGCTTTACAAATTAGCCTGTGCTAAGTGTTCATTAAATGTCTACAGAGATGAAGTGTGGAGTAGCTAGCATGCTGTCCATTCAGCTGAGTCTTACTGCATATCCTGAGTTCTCCATTGAAGAGTATTATGTAAGAGTATGAAGTACATTATGGCAATATGTACCTGTAAGCACCTGCATCTCTGCTAGTAAGAAAAATATCCTACTGTAAGGAATATATAACAGATGAGCAAGTGAACCTTTTGTAGGATGAACATTTCATAGGCATCATCGCATACCTCACAAATGTGTCTGTGCTTGCTCATTTGGTTTGTAGCCTGGCTTGTTGGCAAGTGCTCAATTATTACATGAATGAGTTTCTGACCAGACTGTATTTCTCACACAACAGGATCTTCTCCACTCACTGCACCATTAGCATTGCAATTATTTCATGACCTTCCTTATATTTTTATTTCTTCCTCAATGCCTGAATATAAATGCCAACTCACATAAACATGCTTTGGTAAGCGGTGGACTCAGACATGTTCATCCAGGACAGACTTCTAAAGGTACCTTTCGTCCAGAAGTTGTTTCTCTGGTGGATGTGTTTGTTTTGAAGCTTAGGGAAGATGAAGGGAAAAGGCTTCCCTGCTGCAAGGATTCCTCTTTTGACTGCTGCCCTAGAACACATGTGGTTTATGATGATCTGAGCTTGGTATCATTGATACCAAGTGCCTTGCATGGCAGTCTAGTTTCTGGTGACTGATGTGTTTTTCGAGTTATTCAGATGCATTAATTGGTTTCTGGTTGGTCACAAATACCAGATGTATTGGTGCTGGAGTCCTGGTTGGCAGAGATAGCCCTCATGGGACAGCCGTTGTTGTTTCTGTTGACTTTACTCAGAGGAAAAGGTTATGTTGTGTGATATCCCATGAGAACAAACCTGTCCTCCGACCCCTTCCTTCTTCAGTTTTAGAGTTTTATTGACTGCTGTCACCCGGCTTTTCCTTCTCTCCCTCTCCTCCACCCAGACACATGCGCCAGCCAAGAGCCCTCTAACCACATGCATCCTGAGGAAATGCAGTAGTGGTGCACTTTCGGAGCTGGAGAGAAGGCTGATGTCCAGCTGGGATGCTCTGCTAGCTCAGGGAGCCATTCCTCCTTCTTCCTTCAGGCTCCTTCGTTCGGTGTGATGGTTTTGCTGTTTTCTTGGTTAGTCTTTCTAGTTGCCTGACATAACTATCCCAATTTTTTTAATGAGTGGCATTTTGAACTGAAAGTGAATTTCACTTGGTGATTTTTGCAAAATCAAAAATGCAATTCAGAGGCCTCAGAAATGTCCCAAAACAAATGAACTTTAGGATGATCCCCAAAGATACATGTTGCTTTTGTTGCAGTCCAGTTCTTTTTCTGAATCACAGAAATGAGCTGTGTTTAGCTACACACAGCCAGTTCCTTCAAAAGAGCGAGCCTTGGGTGGTTGTATTATCAAGCAAAAAAATCTTGGCAGAAACTTGCATTCTTCAGACAGCCAAATATTTTGTACCCAAAGTATTGTCCTCCTTCAAAACACTTGTGCATAGCATAACAAAATTACAGATTCCAAGACCCTTTTCATTGCAATTTTAATTTAATTTAGAGTTTGCATGCCTAATAGTATTTTTAATATGCATTTCTGGAATTTGTGGTTTGAACTTTAGTCTTCTGAAAAATAATAAGTTTTATATAGGCACCATGTGTTTGGATCTAGGTTTATTTTGACTGAAGGAAATGAGTTGTCAGGACATTTTCTCTCTAGTATTGCCGTGAAGGCTTGTGTTTTCCAATTAATGCTTTTATACTGGGTGTCCTTTCAGTGTGTTCAATGTTATGCATGCATGTTTATGATTAGTTTGTTTTCGCTAGGAAAGATAGTAGGAAACAGACGCTTTATTCAATAGCAAGCTTCTGAAGTTTGAGCCCTTTGCATACGTCTTGGGTCACTCAGAAGCTTCGTGAGATGGAGTGGAGCTGTTTGCTCTGGCAACAGGGTTAAGAAGAGCAAAGATCCTTGAAAAGGAATAAAACAGTAATTCCTGTATTACCTTGAAGTATCGTAGCAGAGTGTTTTGTCAACATTTATCTTCGCCATCTTTGTGAGCAGTTACTTCTTTAACCTTGTGTCACTGCTTACAGCAATTATGGCATGAAATGCCCGTAATATTTCAACAAGTAATAGCTCTATCTGGCCTGCTTTGTAAGTAAATATTTAGGCCTTACTTAAACTCCTTGTGGTGTTTGTTATGTGAATGAACTTTTTTCATTTTACGTTGACACTATGTTATAAGCAGATAGTAAGAAGTGAGTGGTCTGATGTGGGAAAGTACATAAAGAAAGTCTTTCTAAGCTCTGGTGTATCCATTTAATTGGTCTGTTGTGTAAATGGAAAATTGCTCAATACTGCACCAGAATTGCATGACACCCTGCTAAACTGTAGTATATATGCTATTTGTGCCATCAGTTCAATGGAGATGGCTGGCAAAGTGGGGGGGATTAAGAGAATAAACACAGTACACAAATACTGAGCTCACTAATACATCTATGTAAGGCTTTTTGTACTGGTTTCAAGCTCCTGGGAAGTTGAAGAGCTTCCTGCCTGGGGAGCAGCATCGAACAGGGAGCCCTGTGTAATCAAAGGCCAGCTAGCCTGGAGAGAGAGCACGCCATTCCTATGAAGGTTGCTGGTCAGAAAGCCTAACGGAGCTGCAGGATGAAAAAGTGCCCAAAGACTAAATATAGGGCAGCCACAACAAGGAAGAGAAGAAGAGCTTTACCCTCAGGAGCTGGAGCCACAGGGATCAAAGATAGCTGCTGTGGTGGTGAAAGCAAAGGAACTGCGCTCCGCCCAAACACGGGTTGATGGCCACTTTCATTCTGTTGAGTGAATACTGTCACAAACCCACGCTTGTGGAAGGAGAGGGGGCAGAGAGTCTTAAAAAGGAGCAAATTAAACTGTTCTCACTGTCTCTTTTCAGAGCCAAACATTTGGAGTGTTTCATACTCAAAGGTGGTGTGACAAGAGCAATTGCACGGGCTCCATTGACATCACTCCTAAAGACTGGAGCGAAGCCTTGTCAGGGGAGTATGTTTTATCAAGAAAGAAAGAGTTTGCTAGGAAACAGCAAAGTAATCAAACTTCTAGAAGCGGTTAAGAGGAAACTGATGTAAAGCATCACCTTCAGGTTTAAAATTAAAACATGGTTTTATAAAGTCTTAACTGAAGTGGAATGTTTGTGCCATTTTAATGATAATTGGGGAAAAATGAAACAAGTTATTTTGTTTAAGCTAAAGTTCCAGTCACAGAAGTATTGAAAACTGTGAAGTGAAACAAGTTAGAAACTGATTTTATACTATAAATTAACCTGACTTATTTTCATTGGATGAATTGTAAAGGATTATTTGCTGGATTATTGTGGTGAAAACACATTACTTACGATTCTTTCCATTGCTGACCTCAGGCAGGGATTCTAGCATGTTTAGGCTGGACTCCTTGCTTCTGCTGGGTAGTAATTTACCTCTCATTCCTTAAAGCCCCATGCGTACAAGTACCCAAACTGTGCATCCACCCAAATGCTCCTCCCACTCTGGGAAAGGGAGGAAAGAAGTAAAGAAGGAATGGAGGGAGAAGCCCTCAGACCTCATGAGAAACTCCTCTAGGTTTCAGTGGAAGCCATGAGGACTCCATTTCCCTGGAGACAGTTCATTAGTTTTAACTGGGCATCATCCCCATTGATTTCCCTCTCAGCTGCTCCAGAAACCAGCATTCCATGAATATTTCTTTCTGAGCTTCCTCATTAGTCTTCCTCCAGCAGCTCAAGGAGTCAATCACTGCTAGTCCATAGGTTTGGAGTTGGACTGAGCAACTACAAATAATGCTTTCCTTTATTTTACAGGTGAATCGCCCTCACCCCGGTGATCATCCTCTTCTGATCATCTTTATGGTTGGCGGAGTGACAGTCTCAGAGGTCAAAATGGTGAAGGACCTGGTAGCAACACGCAAACCTGGTACCCAGGTAAAAACAGCTCTAAATGTACAGTTCCTATCTGAACAAAGACTAAGAAAATTCATCAGATAATGTTCCCTATAGCACTGGTAGCAAACCTACATGAAGCCACAGCCACATGGACAGGAATGGTGTTAGGATTTTGCTGTGAAACATCTGTAGGCAACACGCATTCAGGCACCAAGGGTCTGTTTTTTACACGTTAGAATCAGCAGTAAAAGTTCTAACTCAGGTTGGAGAGTTCAGAACAGGCTAGAATTATTCTGAAGGAGCTTTCATCATGTCTCAAAAGATTAATTTCTTGGTATTCTTATATAAACAGAAACATTTGTTGTCCAAAAGGCTACAGGCTCCCTGGCAGTGCATCTACAGGTCATAGTCCAGGGATGCTCAGAAGGAGCCTGCCAAGGGTCTGGGTACTATCTAGTGACATATCAGTGGTGATCATGCAGACAAGTCAATTGGCATTGCTGAGGAGCAAGATAAATTAGCCTGGATACAGCTGTACTGGTTTCTGGCCCAGGCCAGGTATCTCTGATAGATACCTGACCGCTAGATGCCTTAAGTAGCCTGAAGCAGGTGATAAGGAGAAAGCACCAAGTCTCTGCGGCCCTTGGATGTGCTGTTGGACTCCTGGAAGGAGGATGGCTCCCCTGGTGAAGCTTCAGTAGTGTCCGTGCATCTGGTCTTTGCCTCTTCCATTCTGTGGCAGCAGAACTTGACTACAGCAGCTGTGGGGTGGGAGAGGAGGAGGGTGGATGGACTGTGGTGGTGTCTGAGATGTTAAAAACCACTGTTAACTGTGGAGGACTGCATACGAAAGCAATCAGGTATCTGCCAAGTGGTGCAGGTATACAGAGTGATCTAAAAACTGCAGAGATGTGCTTTGTAACCAGCTGCATCATAAACATAAGTCTAGTTTCCAGGGTGGCTTGTAAACATCTTGTTTTCAATTCCTATGGAATGCAGTTTTGATTAGTGAGAAATCGTTAGCAAAATGGAGCCAACCAAAGGCTGAGCAGCCCCTGGGTTCAACGTGTTTTCCACATTTTATTGTCTTTGCAAGGCAGTCTCAAGCAGTATTTTGTAAGATGGAGTGCACTTTTTAGCAATTTTTTTTTTATCTGACAACACGTTTCTCCCCAATTAGCCTATTGCTCAAAACAGCAAATAAAATTCCTTCCCATCTTGAAGGGGGATTGAGTTGTGACACAGTGATGGACAAGTTAATCCACACCCAAAATGTATTAATACACCCTGAAACATAAGCAGAGGGTTAACACGTGAGTTGGTTGAGAACTATGCAGGGAGACTTTTCACTTGCTTTCTAGGGGGACTTGAGGCTTGACAGTGGTGACATGGGATCTGGTGTTGCTTTGCTTTGGCTTAACCCCAGTGGCAGGTCACCCTCTGAGGCAGATTCCTAAAGAATTTTAAGCTTTTACTGCATCTTGCCCTTTGTCCAAATGTGCTGTGTTAGAGGTGAAAGGACTTGCGGGGAGAGGCAGGAAGAGGAAGAGAAAGAAGAAAAGAAGCAGTTGTGCAAGTCTCTCATATAAAAAAAGTTTATGAGTTTGTTGGATTTACCTGGATTTCTGCACTATAGCTGTGAATATGTGCCACCTGTTTGGGATTATTCTCTTTTCAAAAAGCCAGGCATTTGTTTAACTTGAGCCAGCATTTAACAGAGTTGTTTTGTGGTGTTCAGGCAATCAGGCTCAGGCATCAGGGGAACACTGGCCTCCTAAGTCCCTTCCAGTCAAAAACAGTATTGACGTTTATACTAATCATTGGCTCTTGGAGAAATGGAGAGACATGTGGATGCAAAAATAAAGAATTGAGGAAAGCAATAGAAAAACTGACAGGACACACTGATTACTTCAGCAGTTGTTTGGAGTTGAGGCAAATGATGTCTAAATGTGGAGTAGGAGACACATGTTGCCATCCACAGAACTGCTCTGCATCTGAATATGAATGACGAATTTATTTCTCATGGAGGAGCACAAAGGAATACCACGTTTCCTACACATCACTTCTTTTTGGATGGTGGTGAATAGTTCCCATAACCTAGTGAGAAGTATCCTACTTTCGAAGGAAGAAGTTAACTCTTTTTTCCACTTCCATTAGGAGAGTAAAAAAAGGGGAAAGAGCATGAGTGGATGTTTCACCCTCCCAACACGCACAACCATCTGTGTGGTTGTGGCTGAGGCATGCAGACAGATAAACCCCCAGGTGCACCATCAGATGTTAGCTGCATCCTTCCCTGCCCTCTGCTGAGGGAGAACTGCCCACTGCAGCACAGTGGGTTGGGATGTGAGCTCCTGGCTCCTTGGCTGCCATCAGGAGGGGTAGCTCTTCAGGTGAAGCATCAGACAGGCGTTCTGTACTTCACCAAGGAGAAGGTCTGCAACAGAGATGATACGCTGTCCTGAAGAGACCTGCCTGGAAAAGAGATGGATGTTACGTAACTGGGCAATTCTCCCTTTTACAAATATTCACATTTATGCCCCTCAATGAGCCCTCAAAGATTTTGGGGGGAAACAAGGGAAGTCCCAGGGTATTTTGCTGCATCCTTTCTCAGATGTTAAAGTTGCAGATCTCATTTTTCTCTCTGGGATTACTATTAGTTGCACAAATCCCCCTCAGGGTTCAGTGGTGGAACTCCAAGAAGAAATTGCTTTTATCTGGCAGTGGCTATTGTTGATATTTGGCTTGTACACACAAAAAACTTTGGTAACATGTCCCCTCGTGTTTTTCAGAATTAAGCTGCGTGATAACAAGATGAGCACATACTGTGCTATAGTCTGATTCTCACGTAACATAAGTAAGACAGTGTCAGCCTTTGGCATCTGCAAATTACAGAGAGTTTTTCATCCATAGGAAGGAGAAGAGATAATCACTGTCAGTTTGCCACAGATTGTGTGGGAGGACAAGGGAAGGGGAAAAGGGAGGGGGAGACTATCATCATCACTACAGAAGGGATCTGTAGTAACTTAACTCCAGATTCCTTTCATTATTTGAAGCGAAAAGATGAAAGAACGAACAACAAAAAAAGTTGAAATGCAGCACTACCGCACATTTAAGCCGTGCGAGGAAGAGCACAAGCGGTCTGATCGCTGCTGTGGGAAACGGACACACAGATGTACTCCGTTGTTGATGCTTGTGCTTCCTCTCCTCGGATTTGCGCTGAAGCAGCTAATTAATGTTCAAGTGGGCTAGTAAGATATATCTGACCCTACATCCCTGCTACAGACACTACTGAACTTGGGGCTTTGTAAGAGTGGTGTCCTATGACTTTGACCCTGAGTTAGCTCCAGGCAGCAGGATAGCTGATAGCTTTGCTCTGCAGAGAAGTCTTCCCACTAGGCACCTGCTTACTGGTTTTCACTTAAGAAAAACAGATACCTGCATCTAACAGGGTGTGTATCATGGTTGTTGTGAGCAACGGTTTCATTCACCAGACCCGTCTCAGATTAAAAACTTGACCAAACATAAGCGATAGCATCCCAACAGTGCTGGAGGTTGAGCCTTGGTCCCGATGTGCAGCACAGCCTGTGGTTGGTCTGAAGAGACGTTTCAGAACAGGGACTGTAGCTCCCCGCAGCAGGCCAGCAGCACTTCTGTGGTGCTCGCCTTACCTTCAACTGAGAGGAAACAGCCGTCGCTCACAACTGTGGTATGGGAGAGGAAACTCCTGCTTCATCCGCTGGCGCCTCGCACTAAACACAATGGCAGTCACAACAAATCACCGGGTAAGATGTGGGTAGAAATGAGTCAAAGCACACATTCATTAAGGGTACAATGCTACCAGTCATTATGCTCCTTAAAGTGATTTAACTACAGTTATTAGCAAGCAGACAGTTTCACTGGGCAAGTTGTATTGCCCTGTCAGTAAATACCAGAAACACAGAGTGTTTCACTAGTGCTGGATGAAGCAAACAGCTCATATCCATGGCTCATTAATGACGTCCTCTTAATTTTCGCTCGTTCTTGTCCCCCTTGTTTCAGGTAATAGTGCTGTCCTCTGCACTCCTGACACCACATCGTGCTATGGAGTTGTTGTTTGCCACAGACCGACTCCAGCCTGACACCGATATCTGACGGGGAAGGATCTGTGAAGATGAGTGAGTGCCTGGGCTGGAAAAATCAAATCCCTGCTCTGTTTCTCTTCGCAGTAGCCTTCCAAAAAAATGACATGTCCCCTGCTGCAGTTATGGTTCAAGCTGAAATGGGGTGAAGCAGCTGGGTACCTGGCTGAAGAGAAACACGGGCAGCTGACAGGCAGCTCTTCAAAATGGTCCAGTTGTCCAGCGACAACTCTCCCCTCCTTAAAAGCAACACTCTGCGGTGCTGAATCACCCTCAGCAAAGGACGATCGCTTGTAGTAATTCCCTAGCAAAGGAGAGGCTGAGGACCGGGTGACGCTGAATTTGCACTCCCTGAGCAGTACTTTCTGCGTAATCCTGATGGTTTTCCTGGGGTTGCTTCTGGTGGGAAATGTTGCTGAGGGAGGGAAAAGTAGCAAAATCCACCCTCTCTGTCATGTTACCTGGCAAAACACATTAACAGCCTCTGCCCTTATTTCATCCCTCACGCCAGAGAGGCCACGGAGCATAGCCCTGATTTAGTCGGCAGACTAAAGGTGATGTTCTCCCGGCAGGACTGGAAGAGGCAGAGAAGCAAAGAACCAGACTCAAGGCCTGGGTTATGTGGTTGCTTCTCTCTCAGCTTCACATTTCCTGCTCTAGTTTTTCCACCCACAGTCCTGGGAGAAAAGACTGTTTCTGATGGCACACTTCTCTGTAGGTTTACGCAGGAGGACATATGGGCTGTGATGGTTTGATGATAACCCTGGAAGAATCCTCCCCTCACATGCATTTAAAAAAGAAAAGAGAGGGGAAAAAAGCATGATCCATTTTTCAAGAGGCCGCAGCGACAGATCTTTCTTGAGCGAGATTTCTAAACAGCATGATTAGCAAACAGCTTTTATTTTTATTTTATGTTAATGAAAGAGCTGCTATCAGATTCAGTTATGTAATTTTTCCTTATAAAACTTTGATACAATCTGTGATAAAAAAGCAGCAGCCAACAGAGATTGTGATTGTGTATAGCACCAAGACTTCCGAATTGCAACATAAAACGGTGGAGCTCTAAAGCTGCGTCCTCTTACTTCATCCAAGGGATGCTAAGACTACAGCTTACACTGAGAATGAGAATGTGAAATTATAAGTGACGTTCAGTCTGTCATAGCATTCTTTATTAGGCCAAAGGAATAGATTAAATGGGAAGTAGCTTTTTAACCTTCCTTCACTAGGTAGTGTAAGTTCTTTTAAATGTTTATAATGGTCTTCGGAAAAGGGTGCATTTTGATTTAAATTCACTTTTGAGTGGCTAGAAGGAAACAATGGACCAATTATAAAGCATGGACAATGTCGCCTCTATGGAAGAGAGATCTATAAGAATGACCATAGAATGGAACTTTGTGCTATAAAAAATGAGAAAAATTATGAGATTGCAATGTTAAAGCTTAAGAAATAGTTTGAACAGAGCAACTGGAAAGCAAATAGCCAGTCTCTTGCTTTCTTTTCTGTCCTTCTGTACTGTTTAGTCTTAGAATATGGATGTTTCGTAAATTCTGTAATCAATAAAGCAATGCTCTTACAATGCCGAACCTCATCCCTCTTCTCCTTCCCTCCTTGTGTGCAGAACTACACATGCCAGGACTGCATATTCTTACAACTCATTTTTCTTTTACATTATTTGATTGCCCCTAAGAACCTGGATCATCTGTCCTGGGAGGTGTCCTAGGGGGGTTTCCACACTCTGCTGGTAGCAGAAAGGCTCTCTGACCTCCAGTGGCCATTGCTGGCCAGTGAGTTCAGGTATTCACACCTCTGAGATGCTGCCGCTTTCCAGAGATGATGGAGGCTGGCAGTTGTGGTCTTCCCTCCCTCACCTGTCTTTCATCAGATGCTCTCAGGTCTTTGAGTCGGTCATCTAAGGACATACTGTATAGGATAGTGAGAAGCAGGGGGCGAGTCTAAGGAAACACTGGTGTTTTTGCACTTCGTATGGGTCAAGTAGCTCCTCTGACTGAGGTGGAGGCTAGTTTTCCAGACCTCCACACACTTTGGAGGAATCTTTTCAGACAGCGGGGCCACAGCTGTGTCAATGGATGCTGGGACTCAGCCACCCACTTATACTCAAGTAGCTGAAGGGATGAAAGAAAACAGTCACAAAAGCCTGCTCCTCTTCTAGACCAAGAATGGAGTCTTGCCGGTGTCCCTCGTGTAATAGCTGCTTATTTGTAGGAAATAGCTGTAGTAGCTACACATAGCCTGTGCTTGGGGAAAAGGCCAGGGGGTAAGACGTCTCCTGCCAATCGCACGTGAGCAGGAACAGTGCAGAAGAGACTTTGCTTGGGCAGGTGCAGGACCACAGCAAGGAGTGTCTCAGCCCTCTGCATGTGACGCTAAGCAATAGTCAAAAGGTTGGAGGAGGAGAAAACACAAAGCCACCCTTGGCAAATAAGTTTACTACTGTATTAATAAGCTAGACAGTAGTTGATAATAAGCTCAGACTGGAGGGGCAAGCTCAGTTTTATTTTTAAGTCTAGTCCTAAGTCACTTGGCCAGTAGCTCATGGTCAAAAAGATGACCATCAGCAGGACCTCATCAAGTGTTTCCCTGCCCAAGGTGTTACAGCTGTGTCCTGACCAGGTGAGCCTGTCCCAGCACAAACATCCTCTTCAGGAGGGGTCCAGTAAAGCTACTTTAAACATGAACAAAATAGTTGAAGACTTGGAATTTGATTAAGTTCTTCATTGTGATATACCTCAATAGATAAGGCTCTCTTTTTTTTAAAAGAGGAAAGTATCAGTCACTTAAAAGACTTAATATTCTTCCACATTTTGACCTACCTCACACCATTCCTTTCTCACTGGAGTTTTTTTTGACAAGAGGAAATGAAGAAGCCCATTTTAATTTGAAAGGTCTCTGCCTTATTCAGTTCCTCTCCTAAAAGGAATTTCTTAAAAGGAAGTTGTAAAGCAGTTTAAGAGCTCCCCCACTGTGGTTTATGCTAATAAAGCAACAGTATGGGCAGGAAAGGCCTTCTGGCTGTTTCTGCAGTGTATGTTAACTACCTTGAGAAAACTATTACTTTGTCTCAACATCTCACTGGTTACTGCCCATTGTTTCTCACTCACAAAGAACACACAAGAAAACATGCAATTCAAAAATTTAATGTTGAACCAGGCAGTAAGAATGAAAAGTCCACTCCCTATGAGGAGTAACTCTACACAAAATAAATAAGTTACAGTTTAAACAAAAGCACAACTGGCTTTTTAAAGTGCATGTGTATAAGGCCTTTAGCCTGTGAAATCCATTGGCTCAGTGTAAAAAAAAAAATTATATACATACAAGTCTGCCACATGTGTTTAAGGATGAACAGGGACTGGCTCAGCTCAGAACAAACCACCAGCTTCATCGCCTCGAGCCAGCCATGCTTCACACTGAGCTGAATCACAGCCACATTCCTTCTGTGCCTATTGCACAGAGAAGGAAGTGTCTTACACTGGCAGCTATAATGGATTATCACTCCAACTCCACGCTCATTCCTCAAAAGCTCCATGTTGGATCATTTAGTCTGGACAGTATTTTTTTTTTTTTACAGTAAAAAACCCCCACACGTTACTTGTAATTAGATACGTTTACACCCTGCAGACAATAGTTTCACATACAAAGAGTCTGGTCAAGTTGTCAGCAATAACATAGCTAGTAAAAATATAAAGGACCATTGTTTACAGTCTTGATACCCAATCGTGTCCACTTATTTTACACTTATTTTTATAGAGTGATTTCATGTTTGCTGATTTGTTTTGAAATACATGGGAAATAAACAGTTCTACTGTGCAATAAAATTAAATAGATACATCATGCTATCCTTCATCCAAGTGAAAACAAGACTCAAGTGGTTACTTCTGAACAGCAAACTGCAGTTCAGGGTGTTTCCCTGCTCAAGTATGAGAAGAGTTACAGCTAGAAGGTTACTTCTGCAAAAGCATTAAGTTAAATCTGTCCCACTGGAGAAAAGGCAAACTGAAGGCTTGTTTCATTTACTGGAAAGTTTCTTTTCCACATGAAAACACTTGTTCTACAAGTCACATCATAGAACTATTTCAAGAGTTTTTGGTGGTGGTGGTGTTTTTGTTTTTGTTTTTTTTTCAGTCTGCCACTATTCCTTTTTTAAGCAACTGCTTGTTTTTACAGCCATGCAAAAGGCTACCTGAACCAGCCTTCTTTCACAATGCCTCAGACTCTAGATGTGCCAGTGTTAAACACCCCAGGTTTCAACCTCAGGCTAAACGTTGGGAAGACCAATGGCTCTGCTGTCAAACAGAAGTGACAGTCCTCACTTTGGCAGACAAAGCTTGCTTAAACCTTCTCTTCAGATCCTGCATGTTGGGCGATTTTGGCCGTGGAATAAGAGAGGTTCTCCTCCTCTCAGGGGTGCTGGTTGTTTGCTGTTTACTGACTTCTTTACAGAGGAGATGGAAGGCATTGAAGACATCGTTATAGTTTTCGCTGACAGATACTTCATAGAAAGTACAGCCCAGCATGTTGGCCAGCTGAAGTCCATGCTGAGGTTCCACCTCTTTGATATGCAAGAGATCAGCTTTGTTTGCAACGATGACAACGGGGACTGCATTTCCTGGATGCAACTGTCGAACATGATGGTAAAGGTGACTGAGTAGTTCATAGCTCTTATAGTCTGTGATGGAGAAGACAATCACCAGGGCATCTGCCCAGCGAATGCATCTGTTCAACTGCTCATTACAATCCAGACTGTGTTCATGGATCTGAAAAATGAGTAGTCTCAAATTAGATAGCTGTAGTAAAAGATTAAAGGAACCTGTCTCTACGAGTCTCTAAAGCCAAATAGCATTTTACATTTTCAGACATACATATTTGCACTTCACATTGTAAGTACAAACTTAATCTGAGCGTGGCGAATAAATGCATATGTTGATTCAGCTGCAAAAAGCTGGAATTTAACACTGGAGTTTGCTATGCTCAAATGGAAAATCGACCTGAGTAGTTCTGCATGCAGAGAAAGACTTTGTAGTTCCACAGAATGGGAAATTAACTGGCTAGACAGTAAGTCTGGGGAAGCAAAGATATGAGCTGGAAGCATTTAGAACTGGAGCGCTGCCCAGTTCAGAAAGGCAACAATCCAGCATTACTCAGGTCTATACATTCAAAACTAACTTGTGACACACTAATGAGTACAGCCACAACATAGTAGACTTCACTTTCTATCATACACTTTTATGAAGCTTGTTGGGCAGTGGTCATGACGTTTTCTTCCCTGTGTAACATGTTTGCACAGAATTGTTTCTGGTTTTGTGTCTTATGTTCCCAATGTACAGGAACAAGACACTGAGGCATTTCAGATACTCAAATGTAATGGGCCTCCAGTGTACAAATGATTCACCAAAGCAGCGAGTTGTTTTCTTTTACTACCAGCATACTACAGGCATGCAACACATCTGGCTTCACTGGTTAGAACAGAAGTTACCGCCTCTCCCACACAGAACACCAGACTCTGAAATGGACCGTAGCAAGATGCTGCACACAGAGGGACACACGCACACGCAGATTTAGAGCGGCTTTGGTGAACTGCATGGCTGCATCCAGCTCACCTGAACTCCTGGAGTATCTTGCACTTGAATAGCCAACATCTCTCCATCTATCTGGATGTGCCTGCTGTAGAGATTACCTGACAAGGACACCAACAGGGTCACAAGTACAGCCACCACTCTACAAACAGACAAATGTTGCTTCTGCTGCCCGTTACTCATGTAAGGAAAGTTGTGTCACTATTTATGAAGTGAGGAACCAGTGTGGGAAGTTTTTTTGGGTGTAACAACCCATAAATTTATGGCTTTCCTAGAAGCCTGGGATTTAATCTTGCATTGACTTGTTTTGAAACCTGGCATTTAATAATGTGCAACGTGGAATATAATCACTTCTTAAAGACTATCTTAACTTAGATAAGAGTGTGCAAAATAACCAGCTTTTATTACAGAAACAGTTTGCCTGTCATTTAGTATTGCCACACTTTAGTGAAGCTCTCTGCTCACTGGCCTGTAAGGTTCATGGTTTGGGTTTTTTCCCATTTTTTTGGCTTTTTCAAGTCATTTCCGTAACAGAATGCTGTTTATTTTACATTAGACTTCCCACTGTACTACAGTCCCGTAACATCACCTCTTTGCCTTCCCCGTTAAGCTGGCACCGTCTGGATCATTTAGCTGCTGGCATTCAGTTTGCAAAGGGCAACATAATACTAGGCTCACAGAACGTTTTCTCGGGTTAGCTGAAAGGCTCATTCAAGGAGGGACACTTTCACCACCTAAAGTAAACCCTGTCGGAGAACAGGGGCGCAGCCAAACGGGGCGCGGGAAGCCGCG